AAAAAAATATTTTGTATGTGTAAAATGAATACAGTATTATTAGAATTCAAATATGTGGAGCCATGTTAACAATAGTACAAAATTTTCATTATGAAGCAAAATTAGTTTTTGTCAACATATCTTAATAAGAGCCAGAAATGTTAAATATGATAAAAGTGTCTGCAGCATGGTTGACATTTTTCCCCTTTTAAATGGATTGTAGCAGCTGATGCTTTATTGAAGTCAGTAAGTTTAAAGTTGAATTGAATTAAACAAAAACACAAAAGTTGAAAACAATTTAAAATTTGACTGTATATATAACATCTCCAACAAATTAATCAGAATGGACTACACACCCCCTCCAAGCCAGTAGGTTACTAATGTCGTCTAGTTATACATTTCACACAAGTCTTGAGAAGCTGTACTTGGCATCAGGCTGTACAACTTGTTCATGTTACAGAGTCACTTACTTGAACTACGTAGGTACTCAAGACTAGGCAATTGAGCATCCCGACTGCATGTTTTGATGGTGTGCACATGGCCAACTTCCCCAGATCTCACCCGTTCTTTGATGTTGTTGAAAGCTGGGTCAAACCTCCTGAGAAACAGGATCATTCATATGCATTTATTGAGTAAAAGTTACCTTTACAAGCTACAAGCTACAAGAAATATGAGGCTGCTTATTTGTAACTGAACTCTGTCATACATTCACTTCCATGCATGAAAAAATAGGGTCTAGTTTATGTGTGCTGTTAACATTCCCAGTGTTTTTGCATTATTAACTTGTAATAGAAATGCTTTAATTATTGTCCCTAAGTTTCTAAATAAATAATGTTAATGAATAGGCATAAACAAGGGTCATCATTAGATGCAAAACTTAACATTGGACTGATTTTGGGTTTATATTGAGTTATTGTTTCTACGGTTTATTCTATTTGAGTCTCTTTTTTTCATAATTCATATTTCTGTTATATTTGATTCACACTTATTATATAGAAGAAAGCAACAGTTATTCCTTGTTTCTTTTCTGACTTCATTGATTTTCTCACTAGTTATAACTGAGATCATTACCATGGTGTTTAAAGTAATTCGCGTTTCATTTCAAAGGAAACTGTCCTACTTTAACACATTTATCTCCATGGTGTTTGAAGTTATGTATGTTTTATCACAGTAAGAGCCATCCACATCATATTTATCATATTTGATGATCATCCTTAGTGTTGATAACACATTGGCCTGAAACAAGTCCCTTGAAAGTGAATATAAATGTGGTAATATGTGATTTGTTTTTACTGTGATAAAACATAACTCACTCTTGTACCCTGAAGCTGGAAGAAGCATGTTCCTCTGAAACGTCAATAAACATCTATCAGACTACATGGCATCATGCCTTAGAACACAGTAATTTTCAAAACATTAACGATTTTCTCTTCCTAATTACTGGCACTGTAAATTGAAAATTATGCTAATCTAATCTACTTGTCCATCCACATTCACTTTATTTGTATTCTGTAACCTTTTAAAATCCTTTTTTATCATTACATATCAGATATATACTTGTTTTCATATTCTGTAAAGTTACATCATAGCAAACTCTTTCTTTCTTTCTCTCTCCACTTCATAACATTTTTTATATTCCACTTTCATACATTCTGTTTTTACACTAGAATAATATTTAAATACATTTGTCTTGTATTTTACTTTTCAACTTGATATACTTAGGTATTTTAATAATGTGACTATCAGATTATCTTTCCATTTCAGTCATAAAACCCAGCCCCATTATTTCTAATTAATTTTTCATTGCATGAATCTACATATGATATAATTTCTTTATTTCATGGTTATGTGTCACTTTCAATGTTCATTAATATTAGTCAATGTTTCATTAAACTCTCATAACAATTTCACTTCTGTTACTTCTAACTCCACTGATAAACATTCTAAGCTTTTGCTCAGAGACATTTAATTACATTGTGCTTACAGCAAAGGAAGGGAACCCATAACTTAAAAATATAAAAGTGTGCATGCACAGGAGTTTCTTTGTGTTCAGAGAGAGGAAAGATTATAAATTTACATTTCTAATCCTAGTTTTATTAACTCTGCATTATTGCAACCAGCAGAGCCCCACCTCAGGACACCCATCCACCTTTCAAATTTATTTAGTTGAGGCACAGGTTATATAGTCATGCATCACTGCACAGATATTTAGTGTTTAATGAGATGAAAGTATGCTGTCCCCATAGCACAATATATTCCCTGAACTGTCAATAGACATTCATCTGTTCAGAAACCCTCAATCTAATGGAACCCAGAAATTCTTCACTGCCATTGTGCCAGAGAGAGCATTTGAGTACACACTAAAGGAGAAGACTTGATTGATGCTCTGCACTGGATTCAAGTCCTGCAGAAAGATGAGTCGAGGCACAGCATCAGAGTCACCCAGAAAAAAAAACAGAGCAAAACATCACTGACACGAGAAGGAGCTCCCTTTTGAAATATGGTAAACAGATAATATAAGCTGCAGTGATTAGGATTTTGATTTGATTCTGTAACCTCAGAATCTAAACCACTGATTTTTTGGATATTCAGCTCTCATGCTTGAACATGCTTGAAATACTCGTAAAAGGATAGTTATATTTAAGGTAATGAGATATGCTGTGAAGCACATGTCATCCATACATGTGCTGAATGTGGCAGCCTTGTTTTAGAAGCCATTGAAATGTTTCAGGAACAGATTTGTTAACACTTAACGGGGTCCACTACTTCAGGCATTTCAGTATTTCACCAATCACCTGCAATAAAAATATATACAAGCCAGTTGCCAAGGCACCAGTAAACACAGTTTCATTGGGGTGACTCCACCGATGGGTTTCTCTGTAACTGTGAAGTGTGAAATGTTTTCCTGGTGGATCACACAACATGTAGGCCAGAATCTTAGTAAAAGTAGGTTTGTAGTTAGACCACGGGTATTTTATAACAACTTGGAAATTGCTTATTCATCAGAACTGAGATTTTTAGGTATAGATATTACAGAAAACCTTAAACGGAGTACCCACATCCAGTCATTATGTTCAAAACTTAGTAAAACATCCTACATAATTAAATCACTAAGAGGAGTTTTGAGTCCAAATATGTTAAGAAGCATTTATTTTGCAAAGTTTCAATCATTATTGAGATATGGCATAATATTTTGGGGGTGTGAAGGTGATAGTATAAAGGTATTTAGAATGCAGAAGAGGGTGCTGCGAATAATTAGTGGACTTGGTAAACGAGACTCATGCAGGCAAATTTTTAAAGATTATGGCATCCTTACGGTTACTTCGTTGTATATCTTAGAGGTGTTGTGTTACATAAAAAAGCACAAAGCAGATTTGATCCAGAATATAAATATTTGTAGTTATATTACAAGAATAAAGAAGGATTTTCATGTTCAGTTCTGTAGAACTACATTATTTAAAAAGAGTGTGGTAAATATGGGGATAGAATTGCATAGTAAGTTGCCTGACAAAATAAAAAACTCAGTGGGTTTTTCAGTTTTTAAAAGAGACTTAAAATCCTTTTTATTGAAACATTCCTTTTACACGATAAATGAATTCGTTAGTTTTAAATAAAAAGATGGATGGTGAAAGTACTCATATTTGGATGTCATAGCAAATCATAAGTTGTATACAATGATTTGTGTATTTGTTTTTTCTTTTTTCTTTTTCAAATGTAGTATCTACATATTGCTTAGGATTGTAAAATGTTGTTAGTATCCTTGGAACTTTGTAGGTTTGTTTAAGTTGTACTCCTGGATAAATCAATCAATTAATCAATCAATATAGTTCGTAGTATGCTTGTAACTATGTAGATTTATTTTGTTAACTTATATTACTGAATGACGTGTCCAAATGTTACTATGTAGCAAAACGGATGAAAATAAAATAAAATACAATACAATACAACCAGGTTGACCTACCATTGAGTCATTTATTACAAAGTATTCATCTGTTTACTTAGTCAGTTTCACTTTCAAGGCTTAATGTTGTGTATCCTGTGGACAAATTTAACCATAATAATTAGCCAAGGAGGAAATATATTTGAAATCTATTTGCTCAGTATTTACAATATGTAGGCCACTTGGAAAAAATTATTAACTCACTCACTCATATAGCTGAGCCCTTCTTGAGAAGCCGCCAATTGTGCAGCTACTGAAGAACTTCTCAATATTTTATGGAACCCAAAAGTTAATTCTCTGTTCACAAGAGCCCTCAACTGGTCTCTATCCTGAGCCAGATCAATCCAATCTATCCCATCCTATCTCTCTAAGATCCATTTTAATATTGTTCACACACCTACATCTTGGTCTTCCCAGTGGTCTCTTTCCTTCTGGCTTTCCCATATCCTATATGCATTCCTCTTCTCCCCCATTCGTGCTACATGCCCTGCCAATATCATCCTCCTTGACTTGATCATTCTAATTATACTTTCAGAAGAGTAGAAGTAAAAATGATTAACTGCAGTGCTAAAATGAAAACATATATTAAATGCAGCTGATGTAACCATGTTAATTCAGCATGCTTATATCATTACTATAACAAATTCTTTTCCAATGACGCTGTTACTAGGTAGCAAATTCTGGTACTAAATTACTGGATTAAGGAATGGAAGTAGGAATATGTATGATGGCATAAAAGATAAAGCTATCCCTGTAACAGGCAGTGGAGGCCCATAAGTTTGTGAGATGTCGAGGCTCTCACATTTTCTAGACAATCAGCTCGCAGATGACAGTGAGATTGTCAGCTTTATGAACCAGTTTCCCTTCCCCCCCCCTGAAGATTCCTGGTACCCATTTCTGTTAGAGACTGAGTTGACCCCAGGGCCATATTGTGATTGGAAGGATGAGGTTAATTGAAAAATTCAATGACCTCAGTGCGTATCTAACCCGCGACCTTCCAGCTTGTGGCATAGTGCCTCAACCAACTATGCTACCGTGTACATATGATGGTGTATGTGTGTTTAATTGTAAGAAAGGATGATATGTAAGGATATGTAAGGATACCCGTGACTTTCAGTATCTAATTTAAGCCATTCCCTGTCCTGTGAGATCTTCAAAGTCTTCTCTAATCATTTTCTCTGCTGACCAAGTCACAGAAAATATTCAATGATAATAATCTGTAATATAACAACATGAACATTGAACACAACTAACACAAAAAATCACCTTTGGACCAAATTCTGAGCTAACATAAAGAAATTCATATGTGTATATTCATACTTTGTTATTTCTCTATCAGTTTCAATGTGCCTGGTTTATTTAAGGTTTTGAAATTTTAGGTATCAAACTTATGTTTTTCAAACATAGGTTATTTTGTATATAAAGTCTGTCTAATTCCGAGGCTTTTTAGGTGATTCTGTAACAAATTAGTGTTTTACTATCTGCATGAACTGGGTTTGCAGCTATGTATGATTGTTTGTTGAACATATTAATAGTCATCATCCTTACATGGAAAACATCTCATTCATCCTGGAGAAGCATTGAAATTTTTAAACACAATATTAAATCATTCTCCATCTGAGTGAGATTTAAGATTCTCTTTGCAGCGACTATTAAGATTACTGTCTTCTGGGTATGACAGCATTAATGTTGGTATATAGGTATCAGCATTTCAGAGGAACATGCTGCCTCCACCTTCAGAGTAGACTTGCATCTTGTACCCAGAAGATGAAAGCAAACTTTCCTCCAAAATGTTAGTACCTGTCTACAAAATTATGTGGCATCACATTTCAGAACATAGTACTCTCAAAATGAAATCAAAAACATTTTAAAATGGTCAATCTGGATTAGACAAGATGCAACCAAAGCAGTAGTTCAGAAACGAGTGGAACATATGTTCAAAATGCACAACTGTAAAATGATATTCCTTTCATTACATGTTCTTAGAAAGTACTTTATAATAGCAATACAAATCCATCTCTTTACCTGCTCATAGCAAGTGTGACAGTTACAGTGTAATTATGTTAATATTATTCATTATCGAAAGAGTCAATTCTGTTCCCACCTTCGGGTGAGTGGTTGCCATTATAGTGGTCAAGTGTTACTACGTGAGATTGATATGAAAGCAGTTCTGAGTTTGATTCTGACTGTTGTCACTAGTATAAAGAAATCTATCAATATAGTGTCAAGCAGAATAAAAGAATAGAGCCAAGTTCTCAAATGTTATGTACATAAAGTATGCCTCAGACAATGGAGCATAATTATAATATAATTAATTAAACATTATCACAAACACTTAAAGAATAAAAACGGTATCTTACCTTTGGAAGGCACAGAATAGCAATTTGCCAGCCTTCTTAGCCTGTTTGTAGCAATGCTCAGCACTTGAGATGCTCTCTGCCACTGGTTTCTCACAGAAGACATCCTTCCCATGATTAAGTGCTGTGGTCACAATCCACTCATGTGTGTTAGTAGGGGTTGCCACCACTACAGCCCGCACTCTGGAAATGTGTTGAAATGTTAACGCAACTTAAAGCATGTCCCAATAGCGTGTTGTATCCCTGTTAAGATATCCTTTGAATATTATGTATTTTATAGGTATTTCAATATTTCTTGTTCCTTGTGGACCATAATTCAGATCTCAATTTGGGACATAATTCTTTTCCATTCTATCAACATGTTCACTACATTTACTCCTGTAGTATAATTTTACCTGTAACAGCAATCTACAGTTGTTTTCTTATATATCTGCATGTCTTTGATTTTTAAGTATAAGTCCTGCTACTGATTGGGAAGACAAAGGTGTAGGTGGGTGAACAATATTAAAATGGATAAAATATTAGGAGCTATAGGATGGGATGGTATGGATTGGATTTATCTGGCTCAGAATATGGACCAGTGGAGGGCTCTTGTGAACATGGTAATGAACCTTCGGGTTCCATAAAGTTCTTGAGTGGCTGCACAATTGGAGGCTTCTCAAGAAGGGCTCAGCTCCATGAGTGACTCCTGCTACTGGTCTAGAAAAATGCATTTAGAAGGCTTCAATCATTTTTCTGTTATTCTCTTTTTATTGAGACTTATGACTTATGATTTAAAGAGGATATTCTCATTTGAAGGAGAAAGCTCTAGATCGCATTAAGTGGAGGAACTGTTTTGGAAGAGACTGTGGACCTGTCGTCTGACAGATTACTGATGAATGAATGAATGAATGATTTTATCAAAGAATATATCATTCCATTATGATATATAGTTTGATTTCAGCATTCAAAAGAATTTTATTTTTCAAGGATATTTTTATTGTTCTACTTATTGTCTGAAATTCTATAAATTTCCACTTCATGTCATTGTTTTTACATATAAAGTCTGATAATCTTAGTAACAAAATTAATTAAAATACTCTGTTATTTTATTCTCTGTCATTATTTTTGTTGTTGTGTACTGTGCTCCTTGTAAGTCATTTCTTCCCTTTACATTCTTGAAATTTTAAAATTGTAATGCTCTTCCATTTGCAGCAGTTAACATACTGCTATCACATTCTAAGTTTTTCATTTTAACATTACATATAAACCATTTGATATTTCTTACTTCCAAGTTTAATGCCAATATCTGTGCAGGGATTTCCAGGCTGTTTCTTGAACATTTAATTGTACATGTAAGAGAGACCTCTTTGCTGAATAGACAGTTAAAAGTGGCTTATTCTTTAGGCTGCGGTGATTAATGGGTTATGTAATTATACTGCAAAGATTGTGTTTGACAGAAGAAATGTAAGGGTAACTTTGAACACAGTGAAAAGAAAGTGAGCATGTTTTATTTAAGGCATATTCTGATGTTTGTCTACCTGATGGAAACCTTCTGAGTCCTCAGTCAGGATAACTGTTTCATCTGTCAATATTTGTATTCTCAAATACAAGGTAAGCAGGTTATATCTGAGATAACCTGTTTAGTGTTGGTGGACGTGAATGACCATAGTCAGTTAAATTCAAATGAGTTGTTTCAGGAGAACACTTGTTTTCTGAGTGAATGGAAATATTTCTGCTTGGAAACATAACACATGGACGCTGTTGTTAGTACAGAAGACTTTGAATTAAGCAGAGCCTATCTGGTCTACAAATTTCAGCACTATCCCATGATTCGTAACTCAGTACATAACTTCATTATTTTATATTTCTATGCAAATCTCAAATCTTGGCTAGTTTGTTTGTCACATTTATATACTTCTAAATTATCTGTTTGTTAATTGGTTCATGGGTCATAATAGAGGGCACATTCATATGTTATAGGGTACATACTCTTCCTTATAGCCCTTTGCAGCGATAACTACTGTATTCTTACCTGGGGTCAAGGAATACTTTATCAGCATCATTGCTACAGAGGAATACTGTGTCATCTAGTTTCCAGTATTGCCTGATAGCATCCCACTTTTCCTGGACATCATCTACAATGTAGAGCAGCTTGACCCTAGGGTTATGAGCCAGCGCACTCAGGTGAATGGAACCTGTAGCAAAGTTCTCAGTTACTGGCAGTGAAACTTCAATATTGAGTCTGTAGCTATGTATATGTAGGGATAGAGAATTGCTAATGTTTTTAAAATCAAGGTAGTGATAATTAAGTGGACGGGTAAATGAAATTGGGGAAATAAACACATTCAAAATTTTGGTGGGTTACTTTTTGGTATGTGGCTACTTATAGGACTGAGATGGAGATAATATTGGAACGGATCTTAAAAAAAAAAAGCTGTAGATTATACTGATATGATTTGAATTGATGTGGATCAGAATGGGCTGGAATGATATACATTATTGAAGCTCTGGATTATGCCACCGGAGATTTAATGTAGAAGGTTTTTTTATTTTTATTCTTAGTTATTTAGTCATGCTATATCAGCAGCAAAGACTATTTACACCTTCAGTTGAGAAATGACAGGATGCATACTAGCATAAACTACAGTGTCTCTAAGTGAAATTCTCTTACCTGCTCGCCCCACACCAAACAGTGCCATCTGGACAGCTGTCCCTCTCTCTGCCTGCTGTAGTGCAATATCTTTCAGGAAACTGTGAGGAAGATGGTGATGCTGATAATTAGTATTAATTTCTACTTAAATAAATGTAGTCATACATACATAATTATGGACTTTGTCATGCATTGTACAGTTACATTATTGTGATGTTTCACAGTTGAGCACTCCTAGAATCCAATATGTCCTTAACAATGCTGTGAGCTCTCCTCAGTACTGAAATTTAAAACATTTTGAAGAACCTTTGTTATCACTTCTGTAGCCAGTAAAATTATTGGTACTGTGACAAAATATTCAATTTCTTCTTCTGCTGCCTTATTTTTCACAAATATTACATCTTCTATATGTATCATTGGGAACCAGGGTAGCATAGTCAGTATGTGACTGGCTATGGGCTTGATGACCAAGAGGTCAGAGTTTGAGTCCTGGTAGGGTGAAGAATTTTCTCTTCTCCACACGTTATCAAGACTGGCTCTGGGGTCCACCCAACCTCCTATCCAATGGTCAGTGGGGGCTCTCTCCACGAGGTTAAAGTGGCAGGGGCGTGAAGCCGACCACTCACCTCCAACTGGTGCCGAGGTCAAGAAAATAAGGATCTATACATTCACTCCTCCATATGCCTTCATGACATAGTGCTTAATTAGTTAAGCACAGGGCAACTTTACCTTTATTATTGGTATCGGTGTTGTTGACAAATTGTACTGTACAGTTTTCCTAGGCAATGGGTAATTATTCTGTGGTAAGCGGCCTCCGTAGTCTAGAGGTAAGGTTCCCACCTCATGACTCGTGGTACGCGGGTTCAAATACCCGGCGGAGGTCGTCGAATTTTTAAGGGCGGAAAAATTCAGGGAACAAGTCCTCCGGGAGGGACTTTAAGCTGTGTGTCCCGTGTCGTAACTTTACGGCACGTAAAAGAACCTCATATCCCCAAAGGGGATCACTGAGCCAAATTCCAGGACGTTTCCCGCCCAACAATAGTCTCTAAGGCCTCTGATAGATGGGGGAAACATTGTAGACATCGCTAAGCAAGTGGCCGAACTCGCTTGCTCGGCGGGACTGATGGTACGCACCATTTATCGGTAGGGTATAGAGACTGGTAGAATATCATAGAGGGAAGCACAATAGATCAAACTGGTCGCGGTGCATGGGGAAACCCACCCTCTCTAAATAACTAATAATTATTCTGTGGTACATGAAACGCTCAGTTATAAACAAAACCATCACAAGTGCCTGTCTTTGGATTTCTCCACCGAGGCATGTTTTGAGACTAAATGATTAATTTTATTTCATAGATTTTGTGATATCTTGGTACAATAGTTAAGTATATACAAATGTCATGTTAAGGGAAACAGACACTTTACTGAACAGGTTGAGAAATGTAAGCATAGTGTAACAATTCTGGTGCGTTGACCCCATTACTGTCATTGCATTTTCAATTAATACTGACCTATGATTCTCTCTTATGAACGGTGTAAAACATCCAGGCCAGAGCAACAACATCCGTTATAAACTATCATCAAAATCGGCCCTCAAATTGATAAGATGACGCAGCGTAAAATTATTTCTTCTTTAACGCAAAAATAAATTGGAAACTCACAGGAAAAAAGTATTGTGAGCATAATGTGCGTTTCTTGTTTCTCTACAACGTCTGGTCGTAAGATATATATATATATATTTTTTTTTTTGCTCAGATAAATATTTAACTAGTTGGGACCGAGATTTTCGGCACGAAATTCTTCATGTGAAGTGCCTGTTATCTGTGACCGATTTTAACCAAACTTCAAGTTGGACAACAAAATTTAATCAAACTCTCCAGTTTCAAATTTACCCACAATCCTTTTCGCGGTTCTCGAGCTCTTATATTCGAAAAAAAAAAAACGGTAAAAGCTTATGACATAAGCAACAGGGCGTTAAAATATTTTTTATTAATGCAAATTCTTCTAGTTTTGCCTAATGTTCTTTTATATATTATAACTTTGTACAATAACCTAGTTTGTTACTGTGATAAGTTACTGGCCCATATCCAGCCCCGAATCTTGCTTGTCCATGAAGGCTCAATAAGATTATCCATAGCTATTCTAACACGTAAATAGTCAGTGTTTAGGACCTACATAATACGACAATATGATTATTGTTATTGTTATAATTGTTCTTATTATATTTTATATTTTTTCTCTCTCATTTATTTCTTTGTTTTTAAGTCAACGTCATCAATAAATACACCAATATCGTTGTTAATATTAATGAGGTAGCAGCATTGTTGTAATTCATTATTAGACTGCACGTAACCAATTGTGACTTTCAACTCGTGTGCATTTCATCATGCATTGTGAATTTAATCTGGAACATCCAGTCGAGGATGGCACGTTATTTGAAGTCTGACTTACATAGATCACTGAGGTCACGGTTCAAGGGCCAAGAAGGCCCACCCCTTATACATTCATTCATACCTCTTGTTAAATGTGTACAAAAAAGAAACTTCTTTCATGCAAAAGTCACGGATCAGAATGATATACAGCATAGTCATTTGTTAGTAGGAGGGGGGGGAGGTTGGGCTAAAATCTTCAATCCTACCTCCAAAATCTGTAGTACGTTATGAACAAGAGGCTACTGGCTTTATAGAACTGAGCTGGACAGATTGTGTGATGGCTGGAGAAACATTAATATCAACAGCCTTTTCTTTTCGCATAATGAGAATTGGATATAGAATTTTAGTCGGAAAACATTAACAAGCTAGATGAATTTATATCCACACTGTGCATGGGAGGGCAATATTAAAATGAATTTTAAGAGAAGATACTATCATTATGTGAAATGTATTTGACTGACAAGAGGTAGGACCCATTGACAGTCTTTCGGGAACGTAATGATAATTATTTGGATTTCACAAAACGCGGGGAAACTTATTCATCAGGTGAGCAACTATCACAAAATTCAAGATGCACCTAGCATCTGGCAACGTGCAAAGCCACCATGTCTGAATAGTTGTTTTTCTACATATGGTACAGTAAATATATCTGAACAGAGAACTTGTTAATAAGCCAGGTTCTTTGTTTTAAATTGTTGCTTAAAGTTCTATAACATTTCTGCAGATTCCAGCGCCATCATGATGAACGCAACAAAATAAGAGGCCTGTAATCAAGGAATCAGTGCGCAGTTCATTTTATTTCATCGCGATGGCGAGCGAATCATTTCGTACGAGAACCATCTATCTCTTGCACTCACCTGGAGTACAGGAAATCTGCTACCGGTGCTTTAGGCAGCTCCTGCTTGTAGGGAGAAGGATCCTTGAACTTCAGAGTAGCCATTATTCTGGACGAGGAAAGTTGTTTTTAAGTTTAAAATAACACAAAATTAAGTTGGAGGCAACGAGTCACAGAACTGTGACTTGCCACGTAGAAAATGCGTTATCGCTCGACCACTAGACTACGAACAAATATGGCGTTCCGGAATTTACTCAGTGGATTATACGGTATTCTAGACCTGGCGCCAACATAAATGAGTAACTCCTTCAGCCAATAGCAAGGGACTTATTATACTGACCGACCAATAAAAACCTTCGTAATAAGAACGACGACGTCAAATATTCCGTAACGCGGACTACTTATTTTTTCTTTTATTTCCACCACGGAGAAAAACTTCCATGTACTGTATTACAGGGGCATGTCTTCAATTGTTGACCAGAAAGGAGAAGAAAACAAAGTATCTATTTATTTATTTTTAGCTCATTTATTGGTACTGCCAGTGTCAGACTGTAGGCCCATATCGTCGAATGACTGGATGGTAGTGAATAATTAACCAGAAAGAAGCGGTCGTGGCCTGATTTCAGATACTATTCCCGGAATTTTCCAAGAAGGATTAAGAAAAAACACGAAACACTTCAGCCAAGATAGTCGGTATCTTGACTGAGATTCGAACCGGTAATTTCCGGAACACAAGACAGTAGCATTACTACTGGAATCAATTTGAGTGGTGTAAATGTAAAGTTTGGCTATTATTTTCATGCATCTTGTCGTAGAAAGACGAAGGAAGGAAAGCACTGTAGGCCAGCCAATCATAAGCTTTTCATAGTGAACCAAGTTCTTATAATGAGAAGCTTCTTACTGGCTTATTATGCCTGTTATTTATTTGCGTCTTGAACTCATGAATATGTGTGGGGGGATTCTGTTAGCACGTGGCATGTGAGTCACTGACCGAAATATTCCAGAATATCGGTAATATAAATCGGAGCTTTAGATCTGACACGAATTATATTTGTGTTTATTCTGCTAAATATGCATTAACATAAATATATTTAAGACAGCTATGAATTTTAATAATATTGTATGTTGTGTTTTCATACGATAAAATTTGAATTCATAGCAGAGGACCCATATGGACATGTAAGCATACATATCTACACTTCCCATTTTTGAGCTCTAATTTATGTGAGGATCTTTATTGCTTGTTTACTTTTATAAGATATGGAATAATAGATGTATTTACTTTAGCATTCTGAACATCAGTATTGCTATTTAATCGACAGTAAATTATTAACTTAATATTCCCTTAACCTGCTGAGTGGTAATTTCTTTTCTCTCACCATTACATTAATTCATTTTCATCAACTACATAGATTTCTCTTCCTCTTCTTGTCTCTCTTAACGTGCAAGCCTCATTACTAGTTACTGACTAATGTTATTTCTTATTTCCCAACGTTTTGTGATGGACCTTACATATGTGTGAGGTATAGTGCGTCAGACATTCAGTTGTCTTCATTTAGCCTCCCCTATTTCAGCTTCTGTGGTCTAGTGGTCAGCGTTCCTGGCTACAGATCCAGAGATCCGTGTTCCATTCCCGGCGCTACCAGATTTTTTCCTGAGAAATAGTGAGTCTGGAACGGGGTCCACTCAGCCTCGTGACGATAATTGAGGAGCTGTTTCAAGGAAATAGCGGCTCCGGTGTAGAAAACCGAAATTAACGGCCGTGGGGATTCGTTGCGCTGACCACGCGATACCCTCTGTCCGCAAAAGTTGGCACTAACTTCGCCGACGGTCGCTCGGTCGGTATAGTTCGCTTGTGGACTAAAATCACGGAGTTTGTTTTGTTTTGTTTCTGCTTCAGCTTCTCCTATACAGTCTGAGTTACTGGCAGCTTCATGATATAAATTTAAAGGAATATTCCCTTCGACAGACGAGGCTCTGCAGGCTGATGTATTGCATGACTATTAGGACTTATCTTACGGCGTGACGAAGTGCAATTGACTCCTGCCATTGATTACAGTGTGGTTATGTCACCACTGTATCTGTTGTGGAGGACATGTTATGTATACTTCAATTCACCGCATTATGGCAAAGTAAGCATTCCAGTTGAAATGGAATAAATTCCGCCGTCTAATTCCATTGACGCCGGTCACGGTAGCCGAGCGGTCTAAGGCATGTACTGTCTTGGCTCGCTTGGAAACCGGGATAGTTGGTTCGAATCCCACTCAAGGCATGGATGTTTAGTTTGTGTGTGTGCGTTTTTCTGTGTTTGTGTACAGGTAGAGGCCTTGCGACGAGCTGATCACCCGCCCAAGGAGTCCTACCGAATGTGTAAGATCTAGAAAAACCGAAGTGAACGGAGAAGTTCATGGAGGTAGACCTAGGCCCACTGGGGCTGTAGTGCGAAGGGGGAAAAAAAAATCCATGACGTAAACATGGCAGGGCAACTATTTCTTCCGTTATGAAGGAAATGTCTCTACCATATTTATTTATCTGAATTATGGAGATATAGTCATTGCCTGTGGAGTGGGGGAAGTGAAACTAATTAATGCTATTTACCTAGTTTTAGCAATTCGCTCTGATTATCATGAAATTAAAGCACCCAGATCACTGTGATTTAACTTATTGGCTATGTCTGAGGTGTGCGATGTTCCGCTACGGCTGTTCGGATTAGCTTGTGGTATTTAGCTGGTTCCTACTTTGTACCGGGAGAGCTGAGTCGACCTTCATCTCTGCAACTAGAAACTGTTTTCTGAATTCAATGGCCTTCTGATAATTGCTTTTGTCTCTGTGCTTTCATATAACCAGCTTTCTCCCTAGGAACAAAGGAGCTACAAGCGTTAAAATGCTGAACATCATATGTAGAAACCGCCCTAATGGTTGCAGTTTGTTCTAATTTTTTCAGTGTTTAATAATAAATTTTAATATATGTTTTATGAGGAATGATGTATGGTGCCAAGTCAAGGAGGACGAGGTGGGCAGGACGTGTAGCACGAATGGGGCGAGGAGGAATGCATATAGGATATTGGTGGGAAAGCCAGAACTAAAGAGACAACTGGGAAGACCAAGGCGTAAGTGGGTGGACAATATTAAAACGTATCTTAGAGAGAGAATGGAATGATATGAATTGGATTGATCTGGCTGAGGATAGGGACCAGTGAAGGGCTCTTGTTAACACGGTAATGAACCTTCGGGTTCCATAAAATGCTGGGAATGTCATTATGTTCGTTGCTGGTGGCCGAAAACGTTTCCTATGAACACACATCGTAACTAAAAAGTAACACAGATTTGTAGACTGATAGCCTTCTAGATAGAAATAATTGTAATTTGAGCTAGGATTTTCGAAGGAAAATTGTAAGTGACATCAGGAACACTGGATCCTTGCATAGTTTGTAGGGAGAAAGGATATATGCTTACAACAAGACAGGTATAGAAATTTATAATTTATTTACTTTAACTTACAGAACTCAACATTATAACATTTCCACCTTACAGAGCCTCCATGTAAGGGGTTGTAAATTTTGAATACAGAATTTCCGGTAGTGTGAAATGGTAGCAATTGATCGCAAGAATATGGAATACTTCTGACTAGATTTCGCTATCTTAATGTCCATCATTTATCTCTTTCACTTCGGGGGCAGATCTTCGGCTTTCCATGTTAGTTCTACAGACTGCCCCAATCTCGCTGACTCCTCGCAGGCTGAGGCAATTTTACTAACGGCCAGTGTCTCATGTCCCAGCACCTTCAGCATATCCTTTCCTACAGCAAAAACAAACATAAAACGAAATTACGGTCCAACTTCCTTTGCAGATTATTAAAAAATATTGGAGGTCATGGGTTCCCATAACTTCGTATCAATCACCCTCTCTGCGAACAGTGTTATAATTCGGTAAAGCAAAGTTGTTCCTGTGCTTAACAAATTAAACACTACGCCATGAAGGCGTATGGGGGAGTGGATGTTTAGATCCATATTTTCCTTACCCCTGCACTAGTTGGCGGTGAGTGGTCAGCTTCACTCTCCAGTCGCTTTACCCCTAGGGGAAGAACCCCGGTACCCATTGGATAAAAGACTGGGTGGGTCCCAGAACCGGTCTGGAAGACGTGAAGAGGAGAAAATTCTTGACTACAGGGACTCGAACTCCGATCCCTCGGTCTTGCAGCCCGTAGCCATTCGCCATACCGACTACGCTATCCCGGTTCCCGTATTATAATACCGTATTACTTCGAATATAAAACACACATATTTCACATTTTTTTCCGTTGAAAAATTGAGGTGCGTCTTAAATTGAAGGAATCCCCCCCCACCAGTTTTTAAAAACTAGATGCGTCTTAAATTCGAAGTAATACGGTATTTTAAAATACTCTTCAAACATTAGAAGATAGCCTAATTTCGGACCACTCTGTAGACATAAAGCCGAAAGTTCTTCTCAGAACTTCTTGTTTTCCTGTGTCAGGCTAAAGCTTCCATAATCGCATTTTAACTCTCTTTTGTCCCTAAGCAAATGAGGCTTAACACGTGGCGTCTCCTGATACAGGATTGCAGGACCTTTAATTTCGTTATATAAAAATGACACATGTGGCTGTTGCACTAAGCTCAATGACAACTTTCTCATTTGTTTTCAAATGGAGCGGGGATCAAGTAACGCATCAATGACGGCGCATGCGCCATTTCGTGCGCCACGAAAGGAAACACGTGTTTCCGTTGTGACATGTTGCACGAAATGAATGTCAATTACGCTCAATGCCAAGCCGTGCTGGACGACATACCCGTAGATGATAACGGCAAATTCCTGACCCTCTCCACAACACCCCCTTTTCGAATTCATGACCTATCTCTATCGGTCCAGTTATAATGATCCGTATGAAAGCCTCTCGTTGGTCACGGTAGCCGAGCGGTCTAAGGCATGTACTGTCTTAGCTCGCTTGAAAACCGGGATCATGGGTTCGAATCCCACTCAGGGCATGGATGTTTGTGTGCGTTTTTCTGTGTTTGTATACAGGTAGATGCCTTGCGACGAGATGGTCACGCGCTCAAGGAATCCTACCGAATGTGTAAGATCTAGAAAAACCGAAGTGAACGGAGAAGTTCATGAGGTAGGCCTAGGCCCACTGGGGCTGTAGTGCCAAAGAAAAAAAAAATGAAAGTCTTACGTATAATTATTCACAAGAAGACTAAACAACAAAGTTACTCCATTTCTGGCACGTCTCCAACGAAAGTTCTATTATTTTTGTCATGTCTGTCCTCATCTCAAAAATTGGAGATTCGATGGACGGATTTTTATGAAATAAGATACTGAGCAGTTTCGCTAAAATTTGTTGACGTATTACAGTTTCTGTTAAAACCGGATGAGTAACGGACAGCACATGAAGACCCTCATGCGTTCCGCGCTCATCTCGACCGTAATTCGCTAATTTTTGTATTTCGGAGCGGAAAAATGTTTCGAACAAAAGTTGTAGACAGAAAACAAGAAACATCCAGTACATCTTCTACATGTATTCGGATTTTCGAGACAATTAAGTAAGAGAACGCGAATGCAAGCGAATTGTTACGGTATTGGCGCATTTTGTGACTTAACTTTCACTTTGGAAAGAGTTTGTGTTCTACGTACAGTTTCTTAAGAAATTATTCTGTGATGGAGGGCGTTACTCACTTATGAAAGCTACAGCTCAGTTGGTATAGCATTTAGGCAAATGGACGGACGACACAGCAGTCGGGGTTCGATTCCTGGTAGAGGCTAGATATTTTTCTCTTCTCCGTAACGTCTTGACCCGCTCTGGGGCCCAACCACCCTCCTACACAATGGGTGGGCGAATTGTCTCCCCTGGACTAAAGCAACAGGGTTGTGAAGCTGACTGTTCACCTCCACGTAGTGCAGAGGTTGATAACTGTGGACCCATGCTTCCACTCCTCCATCCTTCTTCACAGCATGATAATTAATTAAGCCCAAGAATAATGTTACACTTTTTAACCTTTACGTGTCGGTAATAAATTGAAAAGGGACCGTGAAGAATTGTAAATTGAATTCATAAGGTTAGATTAAAATGTTATTCAATTCAAATCTCCATTTTTAAGGAAAACCATAAAGGTTCATTTCTTTGAGTCTGATGATGATAGATCAGACTCATAGAGAGCATTAAGACCGAAGTTAAATGAAACTTATTAACAAGTTGAAAATGGCCGAAAGAGAAGTTTGAAAAAACAGCTTGCAAGCAACATGAGTGGTAAGATGTATGCATATTTCGGTTGGAATACGTTTATTAAATAAAATGTTCTTTGCTATTTTTCTTATCAAATTGACATTAATATTCGTTTATTGCAGACACAATCGGGTTGATGCAAAGCTACGTAACTAACAGGATCAGAGTTCATAAATGACAGGCAAAATCGGGCCATGACTAAAGAACGGAAGGAAACTGCTCATAAAGAAGACAGTCCTTACCTTGAATGAGGCCGCGCCATAGCTCAAGCGGTTAGTCGCTGGCTTCCCACCGTGGCGGCCCGGGTACGATCCCGGATCTGGTCAAGTGGGATTTGTGGTAGACAAAGTGTCACTGGGGCGAGTTTTCTCCGAGTACTTCGGTTTCCCTTACCAATCTTCATTCCATTATCATAATCACACGGGACAGGCTACAATAGGCCCATCAGTGGCCGCCGTGCCGAGTGGACCCAGCTGGACTCCACTCCCCATTAAGCGAATTAAAAAAAAGAAAAATAATTACCTTGAATGACGTCGAGGAAGTGTTCCATCTCGTTTACGTATGCGAGCTGGTAGCGAGATGAGAAGGAGAAGTAGATGGGCTCCGCCAAGCGTCCCCTCAGGCCTATGTGGCTTTCCATCCCACACATGGGGCGCTCGTTGTTGCACGTCAGCATCCCACGCGGCCCGAACACCTGTGACACACGTTACAGCATGTGCCGAGGAAAGGACACGTGGAGTTCGCAATGCAGCGTGCCAGGAAACAGGAGATCCAGGTCTGGTCTCTGGCCTCTCCCTTAAGTCTCAGATAAGCAAGTCTTGAGTACTGTCTTCTGGGACATAACACCGTGTAGTGCGTTGAAAATCAACCGATGTCTCGGAGGAACATATCGCTTCCATCTGCAGGGTCGAAGAATAAGCCGAACAAGAAAACAGCGTGAAAGGAGGTGGCAAGCAGAGGACCCTGCAGATGGAGCCGTTATAACTACCGCTGTGAGAACCTGATATCCTACTGAACATACTAATTTAAATTAATAGAGATGTAGACACGAAAAGGAATACAGAAATTTGTAATAAACAAACACTTAGAAATGTCTGTTTACTCTTCACCTGACTTATTCATGATCATGTAGTGCCAGTTACTAAACTCTCTGGCTTCTGTTAGCCTCTCTTTTTAACGATGTTGTCAGTATATACGGTGTAGCTTGATCCGGTTACTGGTGAAAAATGAATGAGAAAGATTCGGAAGAGAGCGACCCAGGCATTTGCCTGGATAGCGTGAGGAAAACCAAGAAAAGTCTCAACCAGGCTTACTGGCCTTCCGAAAGAGGTCCGAAGTTTAGAGCGTTTAACTTTGCTCAATCGGCCGCTCTTGACAAGAGAATCTTATGTCACGCGAAAGCCCTGGCTTGGACATGCAGCAAATGTTAATTGATCGAATGGTTGAAGTTCAGTTCTCATTAAATTGACTGATTTTTTAAGGATTGTCAACCCACTGAACAGGTCAAATAACTCGAAAATTTCTGCTAAATGTCAATTAATTTAGCCTGAATTTGGTCTTGGCATCTTATCTGCGCTAGAGATAATTGTTATATCACCTTGGATTCTTTAATTATGCAGTGCATATTCGCCGCACCTCCATGAGCCGATCGCCATGTAAGGACGGTGTGGAACTCGTGTAAGGGAGGAACTTGCCCATGTGTACATCCACTTCATTTTAATTGAAGCAGAGAGAGGGCCTACCTCGAGCCGCTGGTCGTAGCCATACGTGGAGTTCCTGCTGAGGTCTATCATGCCGAGGGTGCCACTCGGAAAGCTGAGGACCACGGCCACGGTGTCATGGTCGCCTATAGCTGCTATCTCTGGAGTGTGGGCGTACTCATGAGCAGTGACACGATGCGGGTATTCCCCCAGAACCCAGCACATGATGTCAATGTCGTGGACTGCGCAGTCGTGGAAGATTCCACCTGAATAACAATGCATATGGAACCCATATTGAATAAGCTCTACAACCGAGGAATGGGTTTCGATCGTCGACAAGGGCAGAGATTTCTTCCCTTCCATAGCACACAGACCGGCTCTGGGGCCCACACAGCTTCCTATTCAAGGACGCGGCGGGCTTTAGTGCTGGAGGCAAAGCGATCTGGAAATAAAGCTGACCACTCATCTCCATCTTGTGCCGAGATTAACAATGCGCGAAGCTATACTTCCATTCCCGCGGTCTTCGTACAGTAGTGCTTAATTAAAAATGGTGATAACTCTGCATTTTCCTTTACAACAATACTATCCCACCCCTTTATTTGTGAAAGTTTCAGGTTTGGAACCGTACTGTCTTCAGGAATATGATGTCATGTAGTCCTGTAGCTGATTATCAATGTAGACTACTCTTAATAAGGTGGAAATAGGTTCTTCCGAAATGTTGATGATGATCTACCAGGCTACATGGCGTCGCATCCCAAAAGACAGCGATCTTCATAGTCACCGCCGTAAAAAAACATAAATCTTCTACTCTTAGCTTAGGTCAGGAAATGGTTAAGGCCGCGCCATAGCTCAGGCTGTTAGTCGCTGGTTTCCCACCTCGGCTGCCCGGGTTCGAGCCCGGGTCTGGTCAAGTGGGATTCGTAGTGGATAAAGTGGCATTGGGGCAGGTTTTCTCCGAGTACTTCGGTTTCCCCTACCAATTTTCAATCCACCAATTGCCCCATCATCTGTCATCTGGGGCTGGTACAATAGGCCAGAAGTGGCCGCAGTACCAAGTGGACTCAGTCTCAACCCAAAAATAATAATAGCAAATGGCAACGTCTGTCTGTCATATGGCGATGGAGGCGGCCAGGGAAAGACTCAAAGACTTTTTGGAGTTCCTGGACAGGCCGCTTCGTGTAATACTGAATTTTGTCCCCGCCCTAGATTGAAATCAGCGTGGAATTGTACCTGACGTGCGTAGGTAGGCGATAGTGGGTAGCGGCGAGTCTCTGCTGCACACCTTGATGGTCTGGACGTGCCCGACCTCACCTTGCCTCACCCGCTCCTTGAGGAGCGAGTACGCTGGATCGAATCTCCTGCACACAGCCGAGCGTCTTTAGTTGAAACTTGAACAAACACTATTCTACCGAAAATAGCCACATCCAGAGTTTAACGGGTACCACAGTTACTGTCCGGAACCCTTCTTAGAACCACTGGAAAACTTGTCATGCCTTCTCACAGGATACACATCTTGCTGCAGTACGACCATGTGACCAGATAGACGTTTCTGTATCGAATTGATTACGGTATTTACGCATGTATAGGCCCACATTTTTTGCCAAAAATTCAAGAGGAAAACTGGGGTGCGGCTTATATTCGAAATATTCGAAATCACACTTCATTTAACAAAAATTATATTCATAATTAGTAATACAGGGTGTTCTACTCCTGAAAGAATATTACAAGATTTTTTTTCTCTATAATTTCTGTCTGAAAATTGTGCTGCGGCCTATACATGCGTAAATACGGTATTTGGCGTGAAGACTAATAGCCCGCAGACCGTTGGAGGAATTTATAACAGAACCTCTTTTCCAACAAAAAGGAAATATTATGTCAACACGAAACCAATGTTTAGCTTCTAATATAGAATGTCCGAGTGAAAGGCATTAAAAATTTATATCTCGGAAAGTAATTGTCATACACGTATCCGGTTTATCTCATCGAAAGGAAAACCCTGTAAGTTTATTTTCCATGCCCAGCTAACGCGCATGCGCCGCCACATTTCTGCCATGTTAGGAATCACTTTGACGGACTGATGGCTGGGAGATAGATCGGCAGAACTGGATCAATCGCTTGGCCTCCTTGGTCTCCAGATTTAACCCCACTGAATTTTTTCTTGTGGGTTTATATGAAGAACGTTGTCTACCAGGTTAAGATGAACGACCTGCAACGCCTGAAAGCCCGCATAAGGGACACTGTGGCTATGGTAACACCAAACATGCTGGATCGTCTGGATATTTGTCGTGCCACCAAGGGAGCCCACGTTGAAATTTATTGAGAAAGTTATATACTCAGAAAAGAACTTTGATAATTTCCCTCTGTAGTGGTGTAACCCATAAATGGTAGGCTGAGCCATAACTCAAGTGGTTAGTCGGTGGCTCCCCATCGCGGCCGCCCGGGTTCGATCCCGGGT